TAACAATTAGATTGTTGATTTTTATATATTTTACCACGTGACAATTAGCATCACATGATTACGGCGCCAATCACTAGCCAAGATAGGGCATATTAAAGGGACACTTGATATTGGAAGATGTTATGATTTTGGAATTGGTGTAGAAATAGATAAACAAATGGCATTCGTTTATTATCAAAAATCCGCTGATATGGGTGATGCTAATGGTGCAAATATGCTTGGTATGTTTTATCAAAATGGAATTGGAGTTGGAAAAGATGAACATAATGCATTTGTTTACTGCCGAGATGGGGCATGCTGCAGGAGCATCTAATCTTGGGGCTTGTTATCAATACGGATTGGGAGTTGAAAAAAATGATCATAAAGCATTTGTTTATTACCAAAAAGCTCCCGAAAAAAGGAATGTTATTGGAATGCTTAACGTTGGTGTTTGTTATCGAAATGGGATTGGAATTGAAAAAGACGAAAATAAGGCATTCATTTGCTTCCAAGAATTAGCTAATATGGGGAATTCTAATGGAATGTTCAATCTTGGATATTGCTACGAAAATGGAATTGGAGTTGAAAAAAATGAACATGAGGCACTCATTTATTATAAAAAATCTGCTGAAATGGGACATGCTGATGGGATGTTTCATTGGGGTGCTACGTCAACTATGTAAATCAAAATTATTTGTAGTACCATAATAAATTTGATTATTGAATTTTTTTCGTGTAACAATGGGTCATGATAGTGATACTGTATCAAATTTTAATATAATTATTAAAACCATGCTTATCGTCATTATATAATTTATATACAAAATGACAAAATAGATGCATAGCTCTAACTTTAACATAATTCAAAGTAATATTTTGCGAAAATTAATAATAGGTCTCTATGAGAAAAGTTACGAAGTCATTTTTTATATTTAAATAAAAAAAAAAGCAAACCCGGCTTAAATTTAAAATTTTATTATTAAAAAAACTGGAGAATATTTAAATAATTTTAAATAATCGATTTGGAGCCAATGTTTCACAATATTTTAGAAAAAAACGCTTCGTAACTTTGTAAATATGTTGCGTAAAAAACGATTTGTTTTTAAAAAACTTCGAAAGAGAAAGAAATTCGATCTGTGCATCTAAAAGAAGTTTGGGATATTTTTATATTAAATTTATATGATATATTTTGAATCAGTACGATCACCAAAATTTTAATTTAAATCTTCTAATAATGAAATATTAAGGGGACCTGATATAGTTTTGATTTACATAGCTGACGTAGAACCCCAACGTTTCCTCCTGTTGATGTTTAATGATATCTATGATAAAACGTCAAATAATTTATTATTACATATTTCGGACCTCTACCCTTTTTGATTATTCCGGCCCATTAGATAACGCGAGAACAGATCCTTTAAGCAAAAAAAATATAAAGATCCATATTTAGTATGTGCCGATTTTTTTGATATACTTTTCAAACCGATCTAATTCTGGTCAAATTTGCTGATAATTTGTCCCTTGGCTTATCAGTTTTAAACTGATAAACCAAGGGCCAAATGATAAGCAAATTTGACCAGAATTAGGTCGGTTTGAAAAGTATATCAGAAAAAAATCGGCAGAACAAATGTGAAATCACGATGGATTAACATCGAATTTTGGTCAAAATTAAGCTTAATTCAGGTTAATATTTGAATATCGCCCCTATTTCGCGCTTGTACAGATCTTTTAAGCAAAAAAATATAAATATTAATATTCTTCATAGATATTTATTTAATTGAAAAATAAAACACACATACATTCAAACATTATTCAAACTCTCATAATTCATCATGAATCAGAAATACTTAATTGGTTTGCATATATTTTTTTTCCTTATACTTGCTGAAAAAATTTATGGATGCCATCCTCGTGGAATTGGTTGTAGTGCAGAAGGCGGGAAAAATTTTTGTGGTGCTCAGATTCTAGATGTTAATTTGTTATCAGATTCAACACTCACTATCACGGTTGTTGGTGGTTCTGTTGATGGTCATGAAAATTCAATACCACATGCATTAGGCCACCTTTACATTCATGATGATACTGGTAATAGTTGGGAATTTCTAACAGACCCAATATTTGTTAATGGTCATATGTGTACTCATGATGATCCTTCACAACAAAAGGATACCTTCACATATTCATCGCAATTTGGTTTCAAGACACCTCCAGATGGAACTTGGTTTGATATTTGGGTTTCAGTGTATTGGGATTGTGATACACGTTTCTTTTCTGCTATATCTTGTTATTCTGAGGATTTACAATATAGGGCTTTTGTTCACTAGTTACGATATAAAGATAAAAATGTTTGATATAGTTTTCTTAAATTGGGTACGATTATTTTGTGTATCAGTTTCTATAAATATACAAAATCAATTAATATTTTAGGAATATATAATCAAAATTGTACCATACATACACTAAAAAAGGTTATATTTTTTTAACTTAGACTATGCTCACCAAACCTTTTTTTTTTCTGTACCGTACTATACTCTTCTGTTGTACTTTCGCCTTGCAGATACGTATTTCAATAAATTAAATCTTGTCCAGAAATATTTCTGGGTAAACTTTTAGTAAATCCAGGAATGTGTAAATTTGAAGCTAACTATAATCTCAGAAAATAATTAACATACGAATCTACAAAATTCGAAATTAAACTAGTTGCTCTTTACAATACCAGTGTACACACACGTAGTGTAATAAACAAACAAAAAATATTAATAAAAAAAAAACAAGAAAAAAAACAGAGACACTTTAATGTGGATCTCACCTCTTTTTTCACATTACGTATAATAACGTTAAAATTTTGATGACATTAAAAGTTTTACTACTTTTAATATGAATTTTTTTCAAAAAGTTATTTATCTTTTTTTAACGCTAGATTTGATCATTTTTCGAGTAATATGTCAAGACATTCCTAGTCCCCGATACGAACAAGCCAGTGCCTTAGTGGGTACAAGGCTTTATTTTTTTGGCGGTGCTTTGCCAAATTCTTCAATCACTAATGAAGTATGGTATCTTGATTTAACGAACTTTATAAGTACATCAGTACCTCAATGGCATAAGGATGTTGCAATGACAGTAGAATATAATCTTGGTACCTCATGTGTTAGTCCTGTTGATAATTCCACTGTTTATTTTGTTGGTGGAAGGTCATTTAATGCTGATATTTATTTAAATACATCATCAATATATGTATTTAATTCTAAAACTTCACAATGGTCCACGCTGAATATAACTGGGTATAATAACTCTTTCACCGCACGTACTGAAATGCCAGCTGTTATTGATAATAGTGGAAAAATTTTTCTTTTTGGTGGGAGAAAGATTGGAGTAACAACTTTATTTAATGATATAAATATACTTGATACTACAATCAGGGTTTGGTCAACCCCAGTTATATCTCAGAATGTTCCTACTCCTCGTGGTGATGGCAGTGCTATATTATTACCTACTGGAATTGTCATTTATATTGGTGGCTACGATAATACATCAACCGCGATTAGCATGAACGAGGTACTGTAGATTTATTATTTAACAACATTAAATTTTTGATCTTTATTATTCTTTGAATTAAAATTTTTTTTAATACTTTTATAAAAACAATTTAGATTCAGTTATTTGATACGAAATCTTCAAGCTGGTCTACTCAAGTATGTTTATAAATAATATTGGGTAATTAACGATTTACAGTAGTGAATATTTTTCTTATAAATAATTTAGATTTCTGGTGGTAATAGTATTGACGGTCGTTTAGGACATTCAACAATTTTAAGTAAGTTATTCATACTATTTACGATCGTTACTAAAGTTAAGCAACTCATTAATTTTTAGTAATAATATTTTTTATTAGTTCAAAATGGGATTATTATTTTATATGGAGGTTCAGCAAATACTGATTTGGGTTCACGAGTACTTCCTGATCTTGCGATATTGGATACAAATATCTGGGAATGGTCTATTCCAAGCATTTCTCAAACTAATGCGCCACCACCACTCACATATCATTCTGCTGAATTATATAACCTTTATATGATTATCTCATTCGGTAATTCAGTAGTTCATATTTATCATTTCATCTTATTTATAAAATATCACTACTGTTATTAATTAAGTAATTAATTAATTAATTATATATTTAATTATTTATTTTTTCAGGTCGAATTACGACATCAAATGGAACAACGCTTAATGGAAATGTTTATATTTTTGATACAATAAATTATGTCTGGGTTACTAAAATAAATTCAACTATACCTTCTACTACAACTAGCATATCAACTACTGCAACGAGAAATACAACCACTACAACCAGTAGCCCAACTCAAACAATTATAAATTCACAACCCTCATCTAATAATGTTAATTATGGATTGATAATTGGAATTAGCATCGGTGCAGGTGCACTTGGAATTGCGATATTATCTTTTATTGGAATTTTAATATATAAAATTCGGCTTCAACGTTCAGCTATTCAGACACCTGGCAAACACCAATAAATACTAATATAGTATTAAAATTTAATAAATGTCCTGGATTTAAATTTTAAATGCATGTAGTAGACGTGTGCATTAATTTGAGTTACAACCTGAATTATAATTAATTCGAACCGTAACTCGAGATTTTATGACTAACAGAATTAAAATACAGAAATTTAATTTATGTTTTTAACCTTATTATTCATTTGTTAATAACTCTAAATAAATATATATATGTACTGTACGTAAGTTGTAAAATTTTTAAAACTATAACAATTTCATTATCTAATAAAATTACATAATTATATATAATATATATTATTAAATCTTTCTACTGTATATAGATTTATTTAAATAACACTACGTAGCGCTAGAACATTCTACATATATACATACGTATATTGTTTTAGATGCGCAGCTATTCTACTTCTTCAAATGGAAATTTTATTTTATATCCTAAATGGATTTGCTGAAACAACTTAAATTGGTAATTCAAGCCACGCGATTATAATTTTCAGTGAAAAATCATGAAATAATCAAGTAAAACTTACCATTTTAATCAGATAGACAGGTTTACTATGAATTATTGTAAAATGTCAATACAATATTGATTTAAAAATCCTTTATCGCTATATATATACGTACTGTACATAAGTATAAATATCGATATACTTTATGACGAACTTAAAAAAAATTATAATAATAATAATAATGAAGCTTTATCGTTGCTGCATTCTTATGTTTACGTTGTTCACAATAGCATTATTATCATTTAACACGTTTACAGAAGCGATACCGATTACAGATGCAGATTCAAGAATTTTTAGAGTTGATCTTTATAGAAAAGAAATATCCGCAAGTAAGAAACAAAAACCACGGATAATCCCAAAGTATTCTAATTTATTAAAGCGTGATTCACAAGATTCACCTATAACAATACCTCTAGTCAATGAATATAATTGTGATGGGATTTATTATGGTTTAATAACAATTGGTGGTCAATCTTTTACTGTAGATTTTGACACCGGATCTAGCGATCTTTGGGTTCCATCTATTCAATGTAAAATTTCTGAATGTGGTATTCATAATAGATTTGATCCTAAAAAGTCTTCTACATTTGTCCCTGCTCCAGAACCAAATAATTTTACAATAATTTATGGATTAGATGATGATACTTCATCTATTGCATGTGGTTATATTGGTCAAGATACTGTTACTTTTGGTAATATAACTGTAACAAATCAAACTTTTGGATTAGCTGTATATGACGATTTTGGTATGATATTAGAAGAAGATGGTGTCCTAGGTCTTTCATTTCCTCAACTTAGCATGTTTGAAGCTCCTGGTGTTATTCAAACAATGAAAGATCAAAATATGATTGATAATGCTGTAATTGCGTTTCACTTGGGAAGACACAAACTGGCATCAAATGATAAAAGTTTTATGAATCTTGGTGGTACTGATTCAAATGCATATGAAGGTGACATTGTGTATAATGATTTGCTTGAAGTCTTATCATCTATGGGATATTGGGCGATTGTGATGGATGATGTTTATGTAAATCAAATTTCATTGGAAAATACTTATTCAGCTGCTATCATAGACACCGGTAATTTAATACAAAATCATTTTATTATTATTACGCATTATTTTTTATTTTTATTTTTTTAATTTTTATTATAAATTTATAATTAGGCACAACTAATATTTGGGGCGATTCTGAATGTGTTAAGAAAATCCATCATAAAATTCCCGGTTCTTATTTTGATGGCGCTTTATGGTATATTCCATGTGATACGCAAACTGTAGTCACTCTAGTATTCAATAGTACACCGTATGATATAAGTCCTGTTGAATTAGTTGTACCAGAAATAATGTTGGGATATTTGTGCCAATCTGCCATCCAAGAAATGCCAGAAGATATTCCGAGTAAATTATGGTTAGTTGGTGCCTTTTTTTTGTCGAATGTTTATAGTGTTTTTGATTTCGATAATCTTCAAATTGGATTCGCTAAAGCTAAAGGTAATTTTAAAATGTGTTTATTATTATTATTTTTTTTTTGAAAGCTTTCTTAAAGTTCAGAGTTACAACTGTCTCATATCATGTTTATAATATTCATTTTACAGTTGTTACTAGCTAATTAAAAGCGCATTATACTTTGATTTAACCTATATCATGTCAATATTCCGAATAAATTGAACAATCAAATTTGTATCACTTTTTTTTTGATCCTTTGAATAAAAATGCATTTCGTAATACAATTATAAATAAATAAAATAGTTTTCTTTAAAGTTTTCCACAATAAAAATTTTTTGATCTCTATACGTATATTGTATCTCTGTGGACTTTACAATATATATCGTATATAAAAACAGCTTAAAATTCTAGTTTATTGATTAAAATTGTATCACTGCGTCTACACAATAAAAAATTTGATATGCGTCGCTGTACACTCATACAATCACCTGATTGTTGTTCGATTCGTAATTGTAAAGTGCGTTTTTGGCTAATATATTATTTTCATAATATTTGTAAGCCATATCTATGCTCATTAAAAAATCGTTTGTCTGAAATTCAATTTTTTATATTATTGCGCATTGCAACTATTATTGCGGTTTGAAAAATTTGCAGATCAAAAAAAACCCCGATGATTTCTGACTTCCGATTTCTTAAATACTTTTTATCGAAATAAAAATTGTAGCTTCATTATCTGTAACATATTTATTTAGCATCTTTTGTAGAAAAAAGAAAAAAAAAACCTTTTGCTTATTACTTGTACATAAATTTTTCTCAATTTAAATATTTAAAAACAATCTAAAATTTTTATTAAGTTAACCTAGTTTTTATTTTTTAGTTAACTTGTTCTTACATATATATATATAATATTAAAATACATCAAATCTCTTTACAATCATATTAAAAAATTTTTTATTTTGTCAAATGCCACCAGAGTTGGTTAAATCACTGGTCAACCAAAAATTCACTAGTCAAACTGGTCTAATTGGTCAAGTGGTCTGGTCAAATTGGTCAGATGGCTTAGTCTATTAATAAAATAAAGATAGTATATAAATACATATATACTATATAAATATACAATATATACATATATATACTATATATTTAAATGTTATTTGACCAATTTGACCAATACTAAACCCTTTGACCGGACTGGTCAAATTGGTCAAACTGGTCTGGTCAAGCTTAACCATTGACCGGTCCGTATCAACTCTGAATGCCACCTATAGTGACTTTTATTAGGAGTAATGTTACTACCTATATATTGGTAATTAATTATATTAATTGTAGTACATTCTTAGTTAATGAGAGCATACATGCACTTTTGGTGCCTAATTTAACTAGTCCACATCCAAGTCATTTTACTTAGAGTTCTACACTATATGCTGTACCTATACCCCAACTACAGAGTTACTATTTAAACTCTCTAACATCCCCAGTTCTGTTTTACTCTAACAAAGTCAACTATACAAACCTCATGCTGCTCACTACATATCTATTAAACAACACAAATTTTGGGGTTCACTTTCAGTATTATCTAATGAATAGGAGTAGTGAAGCCTCCCTAATTCTTTCTATATTCTACATGTTTCCAGATTAGGTCTTTAGAAACATTATGCCATGACTAGCAAGCTCGATTATCTGAACTACACATATCCCCAGCCTTTGTAAGGTTTGTATCCACTCACATTAAAACTTCTATTCTTTTTAGATTTGTTACCAGTTTCTTTTTTGCTTCTAGCCAGTTTTCTAATCTCAATTTTCACTTTCAAATTTGGTTTTCCTGTAGTACTATTAAAAGTTTTGTTAATTCTTACTTGGGTCTTCCTAAATAGGTTTTAATTATCCCAATTTATATATTGAGGCTCCTATTCAAAATGGTATTATCAAGATTACAAATTCTAGATCTAACTAATTATCAAATAATTATTACTGAACACAGGCTTACTTTTTAAAATCATCATCCATGGAATTCAAACTTTAGACCTACTATTTGGTGGGATGACAACTAGACCATTGTAAAAATTATAAAGTTAACAATCGTAAAACTCTTATATATACTACTTTGTTTTTATATATGATATTTACAAAAAAAATAAAATATTTGAACTTGTAAACAAATTTTTTTAAAAATTTTTTTTTTGTATTTTTTGAACTTAAACTATTTTATACAGATTTTGGGTTTTGATATAATTATAGTTGTTAAATATTTGCTTTAATAAATATCTCACTAGTAGGCTTACTAGTTCTGATGTAATATTAGTGCTAGTACTAATTTAGTACCAGTGCATTTTGATTTGGTAAGTTTGCTAATTATAATATTAGTACCAGAGTTATTAGGTTTAATAATGCTAATTGGTTTAGTGCTAGAATTACTAAACTTGATAATATTAATTTATTTGTAGTTTGAGATATTCATATTTGAGTTCTTTATATTTATGATTTAGAAAAAATATTTGACACAAGATTTGCTAGTCATTAAATACATATTATAATTAATACTATAAGGGCACTAACATTTATTATGTAGTATTTTAGGGAATGGGGGTTAAGCGCATACTATATCAAGATCTTACATTACACAAAGAAATTAGTATAATCAAATTCTTTTTAAATTGGCCAATCATATTGGATATTATGTGGGGAGGGGGAGCCCTCATAGTAAATGGATATTATGTAATAAATGTCAGTGCCCTAAAGCTTTAAAAAAAAAAATTAAAAATTGAAAAAAAACTTGTCTTGATAAATTTGGTTTGCGGATTTAAATCCTTGATAGTTATCATTAGTAAAAAGTATACTAGTAGAATAAAAGGTTTAAGTATCTATAAAAAAAAATATTAATTTTTTTTAAAAATATATATATTTACTAACAAATTTTTTTGGATGTAGATTTGGAAGAATAAATTGAAAATTTAGAAGAATTAATTGAAGCAATCAAATTATTCAAAGTAAATTGTTGAACACTATCTTTTGGTCATTTATAATAAGCAAGTCCTAATAAAGATTTATGTCTTGTAATCAATCATAGTGTGTTGTACCAAGATCTTTTAATCATTGTATGACGGAATCAGAAACTGATATAAGTCCGAAGCATCAAATAATTTTTTTTTACGCCAGCCAATCGGTTTCCAATAACGCAATATTTGTTGTGTTGCACAAATATGCAATGGCGACAGACGGAAATTGCGAAGTTACATTTTTGATATTCTGATAAATAATGCATCAAAAACGGAATTTCGGTATCACCTTGCATAGAAATTAAGAGTCCTCCGCTACGCTCCGAACAATAATCTATACAACGCAACTGATTTTGAGTTTCCTAATCTGAAAAAAATCTTGTAAACCTTAAATTTCCACAAAAATATAAAAAAGGGCGGGCAAACTGTACTGTGTAGTACAAGCGTTTTTTTTGCGCTAACGCTAACAATCCTCCACTACGCTCCGGATAACACTTAACTAAGTTACAACACTTAACTAAGTTACAATTATTCTAAATAAAAAAGATTATTATGATATAGACTCTAATACAATGTCAGAAATTATATCGCCTAAGACATGTGAGCTATTATGACAACAAAAACTAATTCTATATTTAATATTACATTAATAACTTAAATAATTATTTAATAGTAACAGAATATTCTGAAAAATTAGAGGCTAACTTAAAAAAATATGACATTGAGAGCTTTAATTACTCACTATTCAGTGAAATTAAACGTATTGGCATTGGAGGTTATGCGATCGTATATTCGGCCATTTTTCAGGGAAAGAAATACGCATTAAAAAATACCTGAGTTTCGAACCTAAAACGTTCAAACAATTTAAGCGTGAGGTAATGTACTTAAATTGCTGTTAATATTTATAATCAGTTCTCAATATTTTACAATTATATGCAGCTTAAATGCCTCTATAAGGTTGATAAACATGACAATGTTGTAAAATTCTATGGAATATCTAGAGGTAAGAATTTTGCATTAAATATATTATACGTTAACCGGATAATTCAAATGATCATAGGTTTTAGTATTATTTTTTGTGTATTAAAACTAAAGATGCTGGTGTAATAAAACAAATGATTTCACCACTATTTGTGAATTTTGCAAAAATCAATTTCACCAGCATTTTTATATGACACGTTCAATGACAACTTGTGAGTTATGATTATAAATATCTGTATGATACCAATTCTGGGCCGAATGTTTACTTACCGAATATAACAACTTCTTTTTGCAAAATATTGGCCGAAAAGCCAGACTAGTCATAATGTTCGAATAATTTTGATACTATTCCAATAATCGAACTAAGATTCAAAATTATTGTCGCGGCTGAAGCTGGAAACGGCTGAAGCTGGAAATTAGGGACCTTGATTTAAAAATAAAAACCCTACCAAAATCTACTTATACTTTTATTATTAAAATTACCACTAAACCCTAACCTAACCCTAAAAAAAAACCCCTAACAAAAGGCCCAAAATTTTTGAAAATTTCATATTAAAATAATTAAAATTTCCAGCATCAGCCGCGACAATTATTATAAATTTTGCAAAAGGGTTATTGATATTCAACATATAGTATAAGTATATTGAACAATAAAAATGTATATGTAAATTTAATTAGCAAAAGTTTTGATAAATCACAAATATAGTTTGAGCTACTACATAATTGCATAATTTTTAGATCAAGTTATTACTGGCGAAGACCCCAATATATATTAACCTCATATTCTGAACTAAATTTTAGACGTTATAAGTGGTAGTTTCATATTGGTTTTACAATACGCTGCTAATGGTAATCTACGAGAATATCTGGAGAGCAAGCAAAAAGATAATCTTTACAAAATACAATGGGTCGACCTCATCCGGATTGCAAAAGAAATTACGCATGGGTTAAATCATTTGCATAAAAAAAAAATAATTCACAGAGATTTAGTAGGTCATTCTTTTTAAATACACTAATTTTTGCTCTAAATTTGAATTAATAATGCTTTAAATATTGTTTATAGCATTCTAAGAATATTTTGATAAATGACGGTAGAGCTCTGATTACTGATTTTGGAATATCAAAACAATTGGACGCTACTTCTAGTAATGAAAGCACCGGTGCGAATGGCATGACAGCGTACCTTGATCCACAATGTTATATTCCATCTGGGAAAAAGGCAATTAAGCATAATGAAAAATCCGATATTTATAGTCTAGGCATAATATTCTGGGAGCTTACAAGCGGAATACCTCCGTTTAATAAACTTCCCGTTCAAACAATACCTTGTATAATTAAGGAAGGTAAAAGAGAAGAAACTATTGAAGACACACCCCCAGCTTATGCAGATCTATATCAGAAATGCTGGTCTACTGAACAATGTCAGCGCCCACTTTCAAAAGAAGTTTTAGTCGAACTTAATAAACTATCTGAAGAAACATCGGTAGAGTTCATTATAAATCACATTAAAAAAGATGAAGAAGAAGAAGATGATGATGATGATGATGAGAATGATGAAAAGGACGAAGAAGAAAATGAGGAGGAAGAAGAGGATGAAGGTATTAGTAATAAAAGTATTCATACAAAACTTAATAAATCTGACACATTAATATATCCAACAGACTTGGTTTATTTACTAATATCAGTCAAATTAATATAATCAACAATGGGATTAACTAGACAATTCTATCAAAGCAGAAGCTAATTTGACAAATATTTCCGCGTCAGTTGAATTGGAAACAATTTCAGAGGAGATTAAGACTTTCGACTATAATAAATTTAGTAAGCATCGTAAGATCGGTGAAGGCGGATTCGGAACTGTTTATGAGGTGAAGTGTGAAAATCGGATGCTTGCTATCAAGAGTTTTAATAAACACACATATGAAACAACTGAAAATATTCACAAGGCAAGGCTTTTTTCGAAGAGGTAACATTAATTGCACAAGTAATTAATCAGATATTATCATAATCATTAAATTATATATTTCATAGCTTAAATTATTAGGAAAAATTGAATCGCATCCGAATATTATCGATTTCTATGGAGTAACTAAAGGCATGTAGCATCATCATCATTTTATTATTAGTCATAAATTATATTATGTATCTGAAAGCATCAATTCATATAATCATATAGACCCCATCAGTGGATATTACAATCTAGTTTTACAATTAGCTAATAATGGCAATCTGAGAGAATACCTCAAAGAAAATTTTTCGAAGTTTAAGTGGGACGATAAAAAGCGTATTGCTAGTGAAATTGCAACCGGACTCACATTTTTACATTTTAAGGATATTAGTCATCGTGATCTCGTAATATATTGATTATTTCCTAAGTTTTCATCATTGATTTAAAAGAATATTCAAGCCAAATACTTACATTTAATTAATTCATAGCACTCTAAAAACATTTTAGTTTGCAATGGACATATGAAGATTGCGGACTTTGGCTTAGCCATGCAGAATAGCGAAATTTCAAGAAATTCAGGGCCTATTGCACATGGAATGCTTGGATACATTGAGCCAAAATGCTTTAATAATGCCTCGTATAAACTAGATAAAAAATCTGATATCTACAGTTTTGGGATGATTCTTTGGGAAATTTCAAGCGGAAACCCTCCATTTGCTTTTTATTCTAGAGAAAAAATCATTATTTACGTATGTAAGGGCGGAAGAGAGACTCCTGTAGAAGGAACCCCACATCCTTATGTTAGACTTTATGAACAATGTTGGGATGAAACTCCAGAAAAGCGTCCGGATGCAAAGGATTTGATGGACAATTTAGATCAGATTGAAATACAAAAAGAAGCTTTAGTAAAAAGTGAGCCTAATGAGATTAAAGTAGAACAAAAAGATACACTTAAAAGTTCAGAAAAATATCAATTCAATGACCCTAAATTGAGTAACAGCACAGCAGCTGATAAAACAGAACTAATTATGGAAAACAGTACAACAGTTAACATGGCTTTAATCACCGTTGCTGAGGTCGTAGCCCTTTATTTTCCTGTAATCGGTGCAGTAAAAAGTATAGTTGGAGAAATTTATCAAATTTATGAGAATGCAGAATGTAATAAAGAAATTTGCTTGATTATGACTAATCGAGTAAAAGCTGCAGAGTGCTCTATGGATATAATAGTGAGAAACATAAATAATGCAGGAGACTTTCGTAAAAAATCTTATTATGTAGCTTTTAAAAGATTTGAAGCTATTTTGACAAAGATTAAAGATTTTACTAAAAATGTATCAAAGCTTAAAGGTTTTAAAAAATTTATTGATGCAGAAGAAGTTAAACACAGTTATGAAAAATTAACAGAGGAATTTGATGAGTGTATGAAAGAACTACACTTTGCTATCGATGTCTCTGGTGCAATTAATCGAGAAGAAGATTCTAAGAGAGTAGATAATGCACTGAAAGAAGTTAATCAAGTAATTATAATTATTAATAAAATATCATAATTTTTATGTTATTAATTTTTAAAGTTTATGATTATCATTTTAGCTTCTCGGCAATCTTGGTAATCAAGATGAAAAGATAGCTCAGGATGTAAATTATATAAAAGATCTAATGAAAAATGAAGTAAGTGACGTACAGACGAAAAGATCGAAGAAACTGAGCTAGACTTTCTCATACTAATTTAATCTATTTTCCATATATTCTCCTTTAGGTCAACTCAATTACCATATTTAATAATGACCCTATAATGAGAAACAGTACAGCTGATAAAACAGAACTAATTTTGAAAACCAGTATAACAGATGCTGACGTAGTTTTAAACACCACTACTGATATCGTAGCCCTTTATACTCCTGTAATCGTTGCAGTAAAAAATATAGTTGGAGAAATTTATCAAATTTATGAGAATGCAGAATGTAATAAAGAAATTTGCTTGATTATGACTAATCGAGTAAAAGCTGCAGAGTGTTCTATGGATATGATAGTGAGAAACATAAATAATGCGGGAGAATTTCGTAAAAAATCATATTATTTCGCATTTAAAAGATTTGAAGCTATATTGACAAAGATTAAAGATTTTACTAAAAATGTATCAAAGCTTAAAGGTTTTAAAAGATTTATTGATGCAAAAGAAATTAAAAACGATCGAAGAAACTGAGTTGGAAAACCCTGCATGTTCAAAAGAAAGCGATGCACGTGGAAAAGTCTTCAAGAAATTTTATAAAACTTGGAATGTTGATGTCGCGTGTAAACCTGTTGAAAAAACCGACCAACATAAATCTGAATTAGCAATCCTTGGCAAATTAGGTCAATCACCTTACATTCTCAGTTTTTATGGTCTCACGATCATTGGCGACCGCCAATATATGGTTTCTGCATGGGCTGATCGTAAGACTTTAAAAGAGCTTTATGACAATTATGATATTCCGTGGACTAGAAAAATAATTATTATCCGTGATATTTGTCGTGGCCTTGCGTTTTTACGTAGTGTAAATGTTTATCACCATGATGTTAGATGTGGAAATATTTTTGTAAGTTTTTGCTTTGTAATTATATTAAGAATATGAAACAGCAAAAACTTTGTTAACATATTATATTAAATTATAGGTGCGAGAAAATCTTGATCCAAAGCTCGGAAATTTCAAATATGCACGTGGAACAGAAGAGAATTCTCGTAACCTTAAAAATTTTTTAACAAATATTATTGGATGGATGGCACCTGAACTAATGGAAAAATATAAAGATTTGAATAAAATTGAAAAAAATGAAAAAGTTTATACATTTAATTGTGAAATGTTCAGGTATTTATTGTTTAACCTTAAGATTTCCTTTGAATTGTATTCATCTTCTGCTTTCTTTAATTATTATTCTTCAAAATTAGTTTTGGAATGCTTATATGGGAGCTTTGTTATGAAAGGGTGCCTTATGAAGGTTGGAATTTGTCGCAAACAATAGAACATGTAACGAAGGGTAAAAGAGAGAATGTATCTGAAGGAAAATTTAGAAGCTCTAATGAACAAGAGATTCAAATAGAATTTATCAATATCATTAATGAAGGTAACTATATTAAGTTTTAGATTTGATTATTTTACTTGTTATGCTAATATTTAAATTATTTCTGCTTATTGATAAATAGCATGGCATCATATTCCAACTTTACGGCTAGCTCTTCCGAAATTAAGTGCTAAACTTGATGAGTTAGCAAAGAAATACCCAATTTCTATTGACGAGCCACTATTATTACGCAATAGAGAATTGGATTTTGATGGAAAGAAAAATCAAATTCCTACTGTATCTTTATCTTTGATGCCAGAATTTGATGATGATCCTGATGAAATTATCGAAGATGATGATATTATAATGCCCCTTGAAGAAGGAATAAAGATGCATAGTAAGAATGACCATGAAGGTGCATGGAAATGTTTCGAGCAAAATTCCAATCTCCCATTAGCAAAATTCTGGCAAGGATACTACTACTACAACGGGTATGTTGTAGAAAAAGATCTTGAACAGGCTAGAAAACTTTTCAAAGAAGCTGCTGACTACAATCATGCTGAATCACAGTATCGATACGCAGTTATGCTACTTTCTAAGAAAGAAAATGATGGAACTAATAGAGATAAAAAACAGCAAGAAATTTTACGTTATTTTAAATTGGCGGCTGAAAATAAAAATATTGATGCAATGTATTATCTGGGAGATATTTATTTGAATGGTAAACTTAAAGAACCCAAAGACGTAGAACGTGGGTTGAATTATTTAAAATTATCAGCAAAGGGTAATAATAAGAAGGCAAAAGGAATGTTGGAAAAATTAGGCATGAAAGTTTAAATTTATTTTTTATTCTAATAAATATGGTTTAAATTGGAAATTTTGTTCTATATATATATATATATATATCATAAAAATTGCATGACAGGAACTTAAGTCATCACTTAATGTGACCTAAAGATGAATTTTTAGTTCTTATTAAAGAATTGTAAAATATATTTTATTGTAGAGCGGTTTTAACGCTCACCAGAAGTGAATTTCACCGCATTATATAACCACTTGCATATTTTGAAATGCCGATTTTTCTGAGTCACTGGTGTCCCAAGGTAGCGTTCATAGTACATGGACATTGTTACGTAATTTTATTCATAGTTGGGGCGTCCGAACAGTCCCAGATGATATTCCCCCTATCTCTTAAACCGTTTGAAATCATGCCAAATTTGGCCTGAATTTTACTATAAAAACACTTCTGATCTATTTTTTTAAAAATTTAATATATTTAA